CATCATAGTGCAGAGGAAGGAGCCCTGTCAGGAGATAGCCTCTGCCTCTATAACTGCCTTTGGAGCCTTTGAACAAATCATATCCCTTAGTATACTTAACTTTAAAATGAGAGAAGTGAACATAATAGATTATATGTCTCTTTTAGTTGTATGATTATATGAATGTTAAAGGAAACTGATTATAGATAAACTATAGTTAAGGCATAATTTGGGATGTGATCAGTTGAAATTATAAATTATAAATTTTATAAAGAAAATTTGTAATACTTGTAAAACTTAGAAAGTTCTATAACTTCCCTATTATTATATATTAATGCTTTTATTAATTGGCCAACTAACAAATAGTGAATCACATTCTGGAGGCTCAGCTGTTATTTCTCTTATTTAAAGGGGTAGAAAATGGTGGTAAATGTAGGAGTTGGAAACTAAGTAATTTTTTGATTCGGTTACATTTTATAGAGTGGTGTTATGAATTACAAAAAGATTGACTAGTGAAGCTTCCGCTAATAAAGGTTTTAATAATTTGAATGGGACATCTCAATATGAATATAAGGAAATTACATTGTATAAAGTTGCTTTATTTAAGTAGGCCTATGTTCTTGTTGGGTAGAAAATTTTGTTTAATAAATTACGGATTGCTTAATTTTATCCATTCACAGTCAACTGCATTCCTTACTTAAAGGCATATTCCGTATATGATGTTTTTAATAGCAGGAAAAATTTGAAATGGAATGAGCTATACATGCTGCTTGACCTGTCTATACTGAATATGAAATATCAAAAGGGTAACAGTTATATGAGGGAAAATGTGTTTGTTAAGATTTCGATTTACTGTTATCTCACTTTATTATATCCTAACGAGATAATAGCATTTTCATTCTTAAGTTTTCTAAAATTTGGCTTTAAGATATTATGTGCTTTATATTATATGGTAGCTACATTTCAGATATCTTAAATAATTTTATCTTGTTATTCTTTGTAAGGTACAATAGAATTGCTATGCTATAGAACAAAGGTACAAATTAATAGTTGGTGTATAGATCATTTTTTTTAACATTTACTATCTTCATATTCTTAATTTGATAAATATTACTTCTTGTGTTATAGGCAAATCTGTTAGAAATCAGATATGTTCTTAAAGTTTTTTTTCATTTTAGAAGATCTTGTCAGGAAGGCATAATCTATTACGGCGGTCCCCATCCTTTTTGGCACCAGGCACTGGTGCTCCTATGAGAATCTAATGCCTGATAATCTGAAGTGGAATGGAGGTGGTGATGCTAGCGCTGAGGAGCGGCTGCAAATGCAGATGAAGCTTTACTCCCTGTCCTGCCGCTCACTTCCTGCTGTGCGGCCGGGTTCCTAACAGACCACGGACCAGTCCACGGCTGGTGGTTGGAGACCCCTGATCTATTATATATCTGTTTTGTTAACAAAAGTGCTTATTAACTGGAATACATTTTGAGAAGCTACTTCCAGTTTTTTCTAAAATTAACCTGATGATATATATGTATATTCTTTATATAAATAATGAAAGAACAGCAAATGTATTTTGCTGTAGAAGCTAAGTAGACTTCCGAATGGCCGTGAGACAGGGTTTTCAGGGTAAACATGGGGTGCTTCTGCTCCCTTCTTAATAAATCTAAGCTATTTAAAGGCCATCACATTGCCTTTTGCTACACATAGTATAATGAGGGATAAGGAAAAAACAATTCCAAACTTTCTATCTTACTTCTTGAGAGTAGATTTTGATAAATTTAAATGTTACAGTTTTGAAATGCTAGATTATACAATATGGAAAGGGAGGCGATCTGTTATTTTGACTGTCTTTTTGTAGTCCTATATCTGAGGCCATCCATCATCTTCCTTCTCAAAAACTGAGTAGCTGTCTTGTCAACTTTTAGAATATGGTAGTATTGGACAGCCACAGCAGTGGACATGATTTAATGGCTGGAAACAATATGTTTTTGAAATAGGCTTTGCCTCTCAATTTATAGATGACAGTATTGGGCATATATGTACACTATAATGAAATAAAATGTAATACTTAGATATTTTTTATGTTTTTTTAAACATTGAATCTATCTTTGTTTTAGGGGATTATATAATGTAGAGGATTGTTTTAGAAGTTTTTTGAACTTTCACATATTTTTAGATAAGATTACTCATCCAAGACTAGGAAAGTAAATACTTAATCTTCTCATTTTATAAAAAGATCTGTAAAACTAATCGTAAGTATAAGTGAGAATTTTCTGTTATTATAAAATCACTCAAAGAAGTTGTATAGAAAATATCTTTTTATGGATGTTTAGCTCTAAAATATTAATAAGTATTCTGGCTAGAATTTCAGGAAGATTCCTCACCTATTTGATTTAGTGTTTTTGTGTATCTGTCCTTGAATTTTCTCTTAATGTGTTTCAAAATAATAATGAGGTTAATTTCTTATGTTTACATTTTATTAGCAAAGAGGAGTATCATCTGAATTCAATCTTTGTAACTCATTAATGTGTATAAGGCAGTACTTGAACTACCGTGAAGATACAAAAGAGTGACCTTTAAAATGATCTCTGCCACACATTGATATGTTCACTGCTTCAACAAGATTTCAGGCTGAAGGAATACAAAACAGTTTTTAAAGTGATCAACTCTTGCTTTTTTGATTTGTGAGACAACCTATAGATGCCAGTTATAAGGGTAACTCATTTCTGAATTGTTGAAATTCATCAAGAATAGTCAACTCTATTTGGAGTAGTTGGTAAGGTTTAGGGCATAGATATTACTCACTCGGGTAAGTTGACCCATTGCAGGAGCAAAGGACCAAATTATAGAGCAGCGTTTCTCAAGCCATACTCTGCTAAGAAATAAGTTTTACATTATGATCCAAACCATGCACTCACTTATGTGCACAAATGTGCAAAACAATTCATAACTCTTTAGCTTTATTTTGTGCAGTGTATTGTGATTTCTGTTTTATATTTTTTAATACCAAAAATAAATTTTAGTTATTACCTATAAAATTAAAATCAAAACCCACTAGTGGGCCACACCTACAGCTCAGTAAACTCTGTTTAGGCTATTCTCTTATTCTTGCCTTCAGGTTTCTCTTTACTTTGTCCAACTATGTAAATGTTTTCTATCACATAGTTTTCTATGGAAGTGGTTGATAAACACCCCTTTAAATTACGATGTAATTAAAATCTAAGGAAGATGAGAAACTGTGAGGACATATGTAGATGTGTGGACATCTGGAAGGAACGATGTTTTTCCCAGTTTGCAGTAGTTCTAAGGGTGGAGTCAGGATTACTAGAAGACGGCTTTTTCTCCTCTTTTCATACAATGAGTGGGTAATTTCATATTTAACAATATTTAAAAAGGTTGTCTAAGTGGGAAAATAAATGCAACTAGAATTTGAATTTTTAAAAAGAAATCATTTTAGCCTCAAGAGGTTCCTCATTCTTAGACTGAAGAAAGTGACTCCCTCAGGTTTGATTTCTGTTCCATGCCGCTTTCTGTGGTAAAAGATTCAGTAAAATATTATATCAAAGAATTCCAAATTGAGGGACAGAAAATAGTTTTAGTTATTCTATCATTAATTGGCATGTAATATCTGAACTTCAGTAAATTTGCAAAATGAATAAATTTAGCCAGCTTATCTAAATTTATTTTCAACTTTAAGGTTTCCTGATTTTACATTATATCATAGGTTAGGTTTTTAAGAGCCTACTAAACATGAGACCCTTAATTCTTAATATTAAGAATATTAAAGGCCTAACAAATGAAGACCTGTCCCAGGATGCTGCTAGGATCCTGCCTGGAAGTATTTGAAGTTTGCATGCTTAAGGTCACTTAATCCTCAGATTCTCTTGCAGAGTTTTTACTGTAAAATAGGTTGTCCAGTAAAACAAACAAACAAACAAACAAATGGTGGGGAGGAAGGAAGTTTAAGATTCAGTTGAAAAAGATTGCTTACTTTGTTACTGCAAACTATGCTTTCTTTGAAATTATTTAACTAAGCAAGGTAAGTTCTAATCTATACTGGAGGTTGAAAAGTAAAAGAGAATGAAATAGATTATGTTAAACTTCAGAAAATTATATGTAGTTACAGGCCTGTAATTTTGTATTTGAGAAGGTTATGAAAGATTTGATATCTGTGATGGTAGACTAATTGGTTAAAAAATAATTCCGAGGGAGACAATAGTGACTGAAAACAAGGGTAGATATTATGTTCTTAGAAATTATACATCTGTATAGCTAACAAAAATGAACTTATAACAACTAAGTTATGAATTTTTACTTAGTTACAGAAAAAATGATCTTGTAAAAAAGGTTTGAGAAGTGAATGAGTGAATGAATGAATCTTTTATTTTCTTGGTTTAAGAGAGGGAGGCTTTTAAGTTGAAAATCCAGTAGATGTACATGTTTTTCATGCTGTCCTACACAGCACTTTCGGTATTAATGAGAAACAGATTAGAATGTGTAATTGTGACCTGGGCTCCTGAGAACTAGAATAATATTATATTTAAAATGTAGCTAATAGTCTAGACTCAAGAGGAAAACATTATCAAATAACATTTAATTAGGCTTTTCTCGGTGCAGTGCTATCTCGTGTGTCAGCAGTATGGAAGAGGAGAGAAACAGCTCATTAAGACTTCGTCCTGCCCAACCTCTACTAACAGACACACATTAAAGTAGCTAGCAAACAGTGTAAATATAGTTTTGTTTTGTTTTGTTTTTAAGTATAATTTCACATAAAGGATTTAAATGGTTAAGAACAATTACATTAGGATTAAATTTGTATGTTTACTATTTTGGGAACTTAATATGTCAGGGTTGTCATTGTAAGTTCAACCATCGTGTTTACTTGGTTTTTATATAGTCTTAAATATTCTAGGCTTCATTATACTATGGATCATTACACTATCAAAAATATGTATAATTGGGGTTTAAAAGGCTTGTTTGGTTTATTTGAGAAAAATTAATAAATCTGATTATTTACTTTAAAGCTGCAGAAGAAAGAAGATCAGCAATTGGAGCCTAAAAAAAGCACCAGCCCTAAAAAAACTGCAGAGCCCACAGTTGATCTTTTAGGACTCGGTAAGTAATAAGTAGTACAAGTCACCATTAGACTTACAAAACAATTGAAATCTTTACTTCAAATGAATATAATAGCATTATTATCAGTATGCTAAAAGATATCTGTTAGCTGAATTTGAAAATGGTATGATTACTTTGCTGAGTTCCCACAAAAATGTAAGTCTTTAATAAGGGAGCTAGTGTCTGTCAGCACTGTCTTTACTGAAATCCAAGTAATGAGTTCCTTGGGGAAAGAAGAGATATCAAAGTAATCTTCAAAGGCTTGGTAGACTGTGACATTTCAACATTTAAAATAAAGAATAGATTCCCATTCTCATTCATTCTCTCTCTGTCGCTCAAGGAGGGGGGGCGGGGGGGGAGGTGGGGAGTCTTTTTAAAGTGATCAACTCTTGCTTTTTTGATTTGTGAGACAACCTATAGATGCCAGTTATAAGGGTAACTCATTTCTGAATTGTTGAAATTCATCAAGAATAGTCAACTCTATTTGGAGTAGTTGGTAAGGTTTAGGGCATAGATATTACTCACTCGGGTAAGTTGACCCATTGCAGGAGCAAAGGACCAAATTATAGAGCAGCGTTTCTCAAGCCATACTCTGCTAAGAAATAAGTTTTACATTATGATCCAAACCATGCACTCACTTATGTGCACAAATGTGCAAAACAATTCATAACTCTTTAGCTTTATTTTGTGCAGTGTATTGTGATTTCTGTTTTATATTTTTTAATACCAAAAATAAATTTTAGTTATTACCTATAAAATTAAAATCAAAACCCACTAGTGGGCCACACCTACAGCTCAGTAAACTCTGTTTAGGCTATTCTCTTATTCTTGCCTTCAGGTTTCTCTTTACTTTGTCCAACTATGTAAATGTTTTCTATCACATAGTTTTCTATGGAAGTGGTTGATAAACACCCCTTTAAATTACGATGTAATTAAAATCTAAGGAAGATGAGAAACTGTGAGGACATATGTAGATGTGTGGACATCTGGAAGGAACGATGTTTTTCCCAGTTTGCAGTAGTTCTAAGGGTGGAGTCAGGATTACTAGAAGACGGCTTTTTCTCCTCTTTTCATACAATGAGTGGGTAATTTCATATTTAACAATATTTAAAAAGGTTGTCTAAGTGGGAAAATAAATGCAACTAGAATTTGAATTTTTAAAAAGAAATCATTTTAGCCTCAAGAGGTTCCTCATTCTTAGACTGAAGAAAGTGACTCCCTCAGGTTTGATTTCTGTTCCATGCCGCTTTCTGTGGTAAAAGATTCAGTAAAATATTATATCAAAGAATTCCAAATTGAGGGACAGAAAATAGTTTTAGTTATTCTATCATTAATTGGCATGTAATATCTGAACTTCAGTAAATTTGCAAAATGAATAAATTTAGCCAGCTTATCTAAATTTATTTTCAACTTTAAGGTTTCCTGATTTTACATTATATCATAGGTTAGGTTTTTAAGAGCCTACTAAACATGAGACCCTTAATTCTTAATATTAAGAATATTAAAGGCCTAACAAATGAAGACCTGTCCCAGGATGCTGCTAGGATCCTGCCTGGAAGTATTTGAAGTTTGCATGCTTAAGGTCACTTAATCCTCAGATTCTCTTGCAGAGTTTTTACTGTAAAATAGGTTGTCCAGTAAAACAAACAAACAAACAAACAAATGGTGGGGAGGAAGGAAGTTTAAGATTCAGTTGAAAAAGATTGCTTACTTTGTTACTGCAAACTATGCTTTCTTTGAAATTATTTAACTAAGCAAGGTAAGTTCTAATCTATACTGGAGGTTGAAAAGTAAAAGAGAATGAAATAGATTATGTTAAACTTCAGAAAATTATATGTAGTTACAGGCCTGTAATTTTGTATTTGAGAAGGTTATGAAAGATTTGATATCTGTGATGGTAGACTAATTGGTTAAAAAATAATTCCGAGGGAGACAATAGTGACTGAAAACAAGGGTAGATATTATGTTCTTAGAAATTATACATCTGTATAGCTAACAAAAATGAACTTATAACAACTAAGTTATGAATTTTTACTTAGTTATAGAAAAAATGATCTTGTAAAAAAGGTTTGAGAAGTGAATGAGTGAATGAATGAATCTTTTATTTTTTTGGTTTAAGAGAGGGAGGCTTTTAAGTTGAAAATCCAGTAGATGTACATGTTTTTCATGCTGTCCTACACAGCACTTTCGGTATTAATGAGAAACAGATTAGAATGTGTAATTGTGACCTGGGCTCCTGAGAACTAGAATAATATTATATTTAAAATGTAGCTAATAGTCTAGACTCAAGAGGAAAACATTATCAAATAACATTTAATTAGGCTTTTCTCGGTGCAGTGCTATCTCGTGTGTCAGCAGTATGGAAGAGGAGAGAAACAGCTCATTAAGACTTCGTCCTGCCCAACCTCTACTAACAGACACACATTAAAGTAGCTAGCAAACAGTGTAAATATAGTTTTGTTTTGTTTTGTTTTTAAGTATAATTTCACATAAAGGATTTAAATGGTTAAGAACAATTACATTAGGATTAAATTTGTATGTTTACTATTTTGGGAACTTAATATGTCAGGGTTGTCATTGTAAGTTCAACCATCGTGTTTACTTGGTTTTTATATAGTCTTAAATATTCTAGGCTTCATTATACTATGGATCATTACACTATCAAAAATATGTATAATTGGGGTTTAAAAGGCTTGTTTGGTTTATTTGAGAAAAATTAATAAATCTGATTATTTACTTTAAAGCTGCAGAAGAAAGAAGATCAGCAATTGGAGCCTAAAAAAAGCACCAGCCCTAAAAAAACTGCAGAGCCCACAGTTGATCTTTTAGGACTCGGTAAGTAATAAGTAGTACAAGTCACCATTAGACTTACAAAACAATTGAAATCTTTACTTCAAATGAATATAATAGCATTATTATCAGTATGCTAAAAGATATCTGTTAGCTGAATTTGAAAATGGTATGATTACTTTGCTGAGTTCCCACAAAAATGTAAGTCTTTAATAAGGGAGCTAGTGTCTGTCAGCACTGTCTTTACTGAAATCCAAGTAATGAGTTCCTTGGGGAAAGAAGAGATATCAAAGTAATCTTCAAAGGCTTGGTAGACTGTGACATTTCAACATTTAAAATAAAGAATAGATTCCCATTCTCATTCATTCTCTCTCTGTCTCTCAAGGAGGTGGGGCGGGGGGGGAGGTGGGGAGTCTCTTAAGGAAAATAATAATTTTGGGGTAGCCTTATTATAAAATCTGGTTTAAAGTAAAATTTAATTTTGCTGAAGCAACACACTTTATATCTAGATCTACTGGTTAGATTCATTTTCTATATCTGATGACAATAAGATATGCTCTTTTTACTTTAATGTCATAGTTATTCTCATGGCTGACAGACATATGTTGTCTGCCTGGCAGGTAAACAAGCTTTCATTCAAGGAATACTTGTACTGTACTTATCTACAAATATCGTCAGCTCTTTTTACATTTTTCTCCTCTTCTAAAATAGCTTGATAAATGGTTATTTTTAGTAATATCTGAGGCTTCAAGAAGTAATTAATTTTTTTAGTTTGCAGAAAGATTAACAGTTAAAAGAATGAAAGATAGTTGAAGGGTAGACTTGAACTTCATATACTGCTTTTCTAAAAATTGATGTTAGTAGTTATTGAGTAAATTGTTTTCTTTTTTAAGAATTACAGTTGAATGTTTTATTCATTTCTTAGGAAGCTGGTGTAACATGCAAATATATTCCCTGAAGGTAAAAATCTTCTATGGTGGTAAAAATAAGTAGTATATTAGAAATATTTTTAAAAATCTGTAATTTTGAAAATAAAGCTTCAGTCCAAGTCTCTAAAAATAATTATGTTGAATTCTAGTCATCATAATTTCAGTATTATATTACCTTTGCTATAAATGAGAGAAAAGAAAAAAATCTTATTACCAGAATAAGAAAATATTTTACTAAAACTATATCTATCTTTGTCTCCACTGCAGCATTTCCTTCCCAGTCTAGGTACCTGGTTTATTAGTTTATAACTTAGAAATGTAAGGTATAAACTAGAACTGACTCTTTTCCTACAGACTTATTCATTGAGTCAACAAATATTTTTTAAGTGTCTATTATGTGACCAGGCATCATTGCAGGAACCAGGGAGATAGCTATGAAAGAAAACAGATAAAAATACTTGCGCTCTTGAAGCTTTCATTCTGTCTGAGGAGACAGTGAATAAACAGTTAAGTAAAATGTGTCATGGATCATATGTGGTAAGTAATAGATAAAAAAACAAAATAAAAATGAATGGTTGTAATTTTAAAAGGGTTTTAGGGGTCGGGGTGCTCACTGAGATATTATTATTGGAGCAAAGACCTGAAGAAGTTGTGGATATCTGGATATGTGGGGCAGGTATATTCTAAGCAAAGAGAATGGCAAGTGCAAAAGCTATGCAGTAGCAGTTTACTTGATATAAGGCCAGCAAGGATGACTTGCTAGAGTGGAATGGTCTGGGGATAATAGTGACAATGGAGAGAGTAAGTGGAGAGAGGTGGGCAGATTGTGACTTTGGCTTTTACTCTGACTGTTCTACAGGAATTTGAGCAAAGAAGTACATAGTCTGACTTTAGTTTTTACAGAATTGTTGTAGCTACTATGTTAAGAATAGATTATAGCACAGAGAGACTAGTAAGGAAACTATTACAGTAATACAGGTGAGAGATGATGATGGCTTAGAGTAGGTGATGGCGTTGGAGGTTCTAAAAAATAAGCAAGTTCTGGATATATTTTGAAGATAGAGGCAATAGGATTTGCTGACCAATTGAAATTATAGGATGTTTACCTTTGGGAATAAACTTGTAGAATAGGCACATCTGATGATTCAAGACAAGAAAAACTGCTATAGCAATAGCAGTCTTGAATAGCCAAGAAGTAATGAGATCTAGTAGACATATGGAGTGACTGGCCTTAAGATACTCAACTATTGTTGCAATAATGTTATAGCAAATAATCCCCAG